AAGAGCTCCTAGCCTGATGACTCGTTGTTTCTACATTCATTCTTGATTTGTGCAGGTAGCCATCGTTCGCGACGAGGTTCTTGAAAAGCAGCAGCAAATTCAGGAGCTTACTCGTCAAAAGATCGAGACCGAGGCGTGACGCCAAGGACTTTGTGTTTTCTCTCGCCATCCTACATATTTATAAGCACAGGGGGAACCTGCCGCGACTCTGTGCTTTGAGTATCATGCCTAGTCCCATGACAGCCTGCGGCTGATCTGCGGGACCGGGGGTCCATTCTTTCATAGTTTTGGAAGCCAAAACCACCCTAAAGTCGGGGGCTGCTTTTTGGGAGATTTTAATTGCAAAGACCAACACCTCAGCAGGGTCCCGGCTTTACATTCTGGGGGTCGCTACTTGAGATTTTAGCTTAACGTTTCAAAGCTCTCAAAGGGTGTACTCTCGCCAACCCCGACCAGGACCCCAGCCAGCGCCGACCTGAATGCTTGTTGTGATGCGACTGGTTTCTTGTCGTGGTAGTTTTGCAAACTCGGGTCGTGGTATCTTGGTCTCTGGTCGTGGCGCAATTTAGCACGCTCCTGTCGTGATAGGAGCGCCCCCTTGTTTTGTATGTGCGCTTACGCTGGCTATAAACCTTGGACTTGCTTACCTTGGCAACTTACAGCCTGAAGGGTCACGACAGCCAGCGACCTTTTGTGTTGACTTGTCCTTTGGCATTCATTGTTCAGACAACGCACTCACATGTTTTGTTGTAATGGGCTCGCTCAAGGGCAAGTGAAACTGGATCAGGCATTGCTTAGAGAAGCACGACAAAAGATTGAAAGAGAAGAAGCCGGGTGCTGAGTGGTCAGAATGCAAGTCTGCTGTTGAGCTGGGCATGGCATGCTTGCAGGGCTCTCCCCCTGCAGACGCAACTTCTGCAGAGCAGCTGGCAGAGGAAGGGCATTTCTCTGGTGAGCTTTGTGCTTTCACGAAAGCTGAACTTTGCCCCCGGAGGTCCAGCAGCTCAGAGCTCAGGTTGCAGAAGCAGAAGCCAAGCTAGAGGCACCGCCATTAGTAGCTATGTGCTTGAAAGATGTTGAAGCTGAGCTGATGACAGGATTGGGTAAGAAAGGATGCAGCAACTAGTGTGGAGGCAGTGGGTTGAGAGTTCTCCTTGCGACTGATCGAGAAGGATCGTAAGGGAGACCTGAGAGTCAGAAGGTTCAGCAGCTGCGAGCTCGCGTTGCTGAAGCTGAATCCAAACTTCAGGTCTGGCAGTCCTGCGGCAGTATGGTGGGGAATGGTAAGCTTCACATGGACAGCTTCAAGCAACAATCATGTTTCTGCAGAGGGCACCGCGCCTGCACCAGACTGCAGCAGTGAGGCAGGAAACCGTGGTGATGTATTGGCAGGATGACTCGCTTCACTGGCAGTTTCAGAAATCAGGTCCTGCAGCTTCGAGCTCGTGCTGATGAGGCTGAAGCACTTCTGAAGGCACGCGGGCTCACAGGTTTTCCGCTTTAGGGTGGCGTTAGCGGGACAAGGGGTTAAAGCAGCTCGGCGGAAAGCGCAATGGAGTTGTGGCTGGTAAGTGGCTGGAGCTGCAGGCTTCTGCATTCACCCAGCGCGCGACAACACACCAGCAACATAGCATTGTGCGAACAGACCCTGGAATCCTGGAAGCTGGCACTCATGTTTGCTGCTGGCACCTGGCGAAGATCCTGAACACAGGATTCTGTCCCTTTCGACTGCAGCAAAGGACAGGAAACGGCGCTTGAAGGTATCATCATTTGATGGAGACGCTGGTCACAGTCTAGGATTTCGCAAGCTTGGGGGTTTAGGGGCCAACAATCACACTTCTGCAAAGCATTGTGCAAAAGACCAACCTAAAGGGGGAGGCGGACACAGAATTTCCTTTATACTGATAATGCTGGCATGAGGGACCGTTGTTACCAGCAGAATTCATTGGGGTTTGGGGGATCCTCAATCCCCCTGCAGCGTGCGGGGAAGCCCAATAGATCGCAATAGTGTCTGCTGTCTCGATGTAAGGTTGGAGGTGGCAGAAACAGAGGTCCGATCATGCAGGTGTGACAGCACTTTTGTTCGGCCGATGATGTCTTTTGTGCTTCCAGAGAATTCAAGTTGCTTCCAGAGCACCACGCTGCGACCCGGTGAGTTGGTATGTGATGCGAGAGAATGCGAGAGTGCTTGTGTCTATAGTCTTGTGACCAGTGCATATGTGCGTGATTTTTTCGAACATCTCGCCCCGTCTCTGATCCAGTGTCCCAGCTTAGTACCTCCGTGAGTGTTCGCCAACAAGAAGGTTTTGTTCCTGCAAAGTGGGCTTTCTTGCCAACTGACCAAGTCCAACCCATGCTTGCTGGCTTGGGAGGCAAGCTCATGGAGGTTCGGGTTGCACCCTGATCAACTTACCGCTGCTCCGATTGGGGATCCGCTGGAGCCCCGATAACGCATGCGCAGGTGCAAAGAAGGTGGGAGGGACAATTTCCTTAGGCCGGAGGGGGCCGTAGGTCGACACTCATTCACGCACTCACTCAGACTTGTGCTTAGCATCAGGGCGTCTCGTCAAAGTGTCCATGCCATACTAGCTGATTGGTTTGTGCGGTTAAGAGTATCTGTTCTCTGGGTATCATTATATAGTGTTGGGTTTCCATGCAAGTTGTGTGTGTGTTAACCCTCCACAAGGTTTGGATTATATTGGCATTGGGCCAGATTGGGCTGGGGTTTACTTTGTTCAAATTACTGGTGCTCATGATGCAATTTAAAGGTCACAGCCTGAGACCTGAATCTCTACACCTGCACAAGGTTTCCGGTGAAAGCGAAGGTCCGACGATGCAGGTGGGCGGTATCTCTCCAAACTCCGGACAGGCCGAAATGTGCACTCCCTGTCTGGGTTCCTCAGGCCCCAGGCCTGAAGCCGGACCTTGCTCCACAGGCTACCTCCCCCTTCCCTTATTGCTCGTCAGTTGGGGGACAAGCTGGACCCAAGAAGCTGCTCCGAAGCCCTTGCGCCGTGTGTGGGCAAGCGGGGTTCGCAGACTGGGGGATTAACAAACGGCCGGGGTTCAGAGTCGCAGTGGAGGATGACAGGAGCGTTGCTGACGTCATGAGAAGCGTGCAGAATGACACCAACAAGAGTTGTAGAGCATACCCGTGACAGACGTGAAGCAGCATCCGCGCTCAAGAATGTGTGTGTCAGCAGTTGGGCCTGCCCGAGGGAAATGCTTGAGGGCAAGCCATTCGTAAAGACTCTTACAGGCCACAGCCCCACGTTGGTGGAGGATAAGCACCGGTGCTGCATCTGTATCATGGTTGTTATGCGCAACAATTGGTATTTGGCAAAAGGACCTGGAAGAGGTCCCTAACCCACCCTGGAGTTTTTTCAGCTGTGAGCTCGTCATGGACCAACTTGCTCCGGCATCAGTTGGTACCTGTGTGAAGTGCAAGTTTTAAGAAGTTAGGTGTGATTCTGAGGCGCATGTGCATATAAGCACATGCGAACACGGCGTGATTTCATGACATGTCATTCGTCCATCTCTTTGCCTCGTGACGCGCGGAAGGCCTTGCAGCAGCGTGACTCGGCGGTGTGCGCAGAGGCGAGGGTTTCGCCTTTGGAGAGGTTGGCGGGCCTTTTAGGCAGTGCGGCTCTAGCACTGACTTGAGCAATTCTGGCCTTCATACATCTCATGCCATATCCTTGCTTGTCCTCTGCGCAGCAGGCCCAAAAAGGAGCCGATGCTGTGCAAGATCAGGGAAATGAGGTGTCGCTGGTTTGCAACACAGACTGCAGAGAGAACATATGTGTACCTGTTTTTCTTTTGGCAGATACACCAGCTGAAAGCACGGGCCGCAAAAGCTGAAGAAACATTGGAGGTGCCATGCATCAAAGTCCGGAGCTGCTTGATGCAAATCCGGGTACAGTGCAATGTGAAGGTTCTACAGCAAAAGGAGACGGCCACCAGTGCGGAGGCAAAATAGCTGGACATTCAGCTGCTTTGGTTGCCACCAGCTGTCCTCAGTGAGCAGGTGCAACAACTCAGAGCCCGTGCGGCTGAGCTGGAAGCAAAGCTGGAGGTGGCAGCTTCACTTGGCTTTCGTCAATCAGCCTGGTCGCTGGCCCAGCTGGCCAGGCAGCACAGCATGAAAAAGAAGCACAGCAGGCTGAGCTGGAGGTGGGAAGCTTTGCCAGTCCTGCAGAGATTTCCATCCTTGAATTTTAGTCCTGAGCTGCTGGAAGAGCTTTTTGAAGTTGCAGGCGTTGCAAAGGAAGGATGCTGACTCAGCCGTTGAGGCGTGCCGTTGGTGCACCAAAGCTAGAATTGGAACAGTTTCTGGTGTGCTGCTCGGTGTGCTCCTGATGACTTCGCAAGACTTTGCTTCAGATAGCGCACAACCTTGCGCAGGTTCAGCAGCTGAGAGCACAGGCTGCTGAAGCTAAAGCAAATCTGGAGGCGAATCCCCTTCTTCGCCAGAATGTGCGCTTTCAGCGATTCAGGAAATAATAGGCAGCTTCAAGCTTATCATCATTGCGGCAGAATTTCAAAGTTCCAAAGTAGCAGGGTTCTCCGCGAGTTCTGCTTTGAGATTGAGGGAGAAGTCTGCCAGGCCGCGCAAAGCGAGGCCTCTCCTGATGGCAGCAACGAGGCGGGGATTGCATGGAGGAGTGACCATGACGGACCGGAGCCGTCAGCGAAATCAGGTCCAGCAACTGCGAGCTCGTGCTGCTCAAGCTGAGGAGAAACTCGAGGTTTGTAGATTTGGGTTGAGAAGCCTGCGTGACCAGCATGTAACCGTGCTTTCCTCCAGCTTTGGAAGAGGTTCTGAAGCAGAAAGATGTGGCCTCAAGTGCAGAGGCCGACTTGTCTTGTCAGGAAGTGGCAAATGGTTGCTGAAAGCTGAAGCAGGTGCAGCAGCTCAGAGCGCGAGTTTCCGAAGCCGAAGCAAAGCTGAAGGCATGGAGTCACAAGATGAAGTTTTGCTGCAATGGCTTGTTCGGCAGGACTTACAAGGCACTTCAGCAGCGCCGGATCAGCGTGCAGAGGTGCGGGCGCAAGGATGTTTCATGAAATTGCTGGTGTTGCAGCTCGCTTTTGATTGCTTGGCAGCCATGACTTGTCTAGTTACACCGGACAGCTGGGGTCCACGTTGTACTTGTAGGATCACGTGGGGCGGTCTTGTGATCTTTATCCACTTCAACACATAACTGGAAGCTGCCAAGCAGCTGGAACTACCCGTAAGGTCCTGTAGGCTAATGTGCAAACTCCTCACTTTCATACCAGCACTAGCCATCAGTAGTCGTGGTAGTAATAATATTT